TTTTAAGAGTTATGTGTTACCTTCTAAAGTTTAATGATAACATTAAAAATGAATATATTTAGGAAAAAGGTAAATTTACAAAAAAATAATGCTCCATTTAAACACTAAATGTTATTTTTAGACCTTAGAAAGAAACATATACCCGATAAATCTTAAAACATCCCCCCTTCCGACCATTTAATGAAAACATGCTAGTCCGCCATATACAAAAAATGCAACCCGATTTCTACCATGCATAAAGTTTGTTAATGTCTTAATCTGAGCGAAATTAATATTCTTGGGCATTTTTAAATACATGTTTTTCAGATATTGGGGTCGAATTTTCTCTAACCTGGCGTAGTGTAGCAACTTTTTGACTTCCGGTCAAGAAACTGTCATTTATGCTATTGAAACACATTAGCCTGATGAGTCGTTATATAGTGTACATTTGTATCTGCAGCTCTTTTTTTCTTTATTTTGAGAATTTCCAGCATTAGCAATAAAAATCAGTCATTTTGAGAAAATATAGGCATCACATCCGGTAAAGAAAGAAGGATTTTTTCCCGGCCTTTTAGTACAATGCTTATGATTAACAGTTTCAAAACCTTGGAAACCCAAAATATTGTTAAAATTTTATTAAAAATGGAAAATCTTGAATTCTGTTAAGATGGCTAAAAAGCAACTTCCGGTAATGGAAAGAAATTCATTCAACCGTAAAATAACTGATATGGCAAAGTCAAAGATGTCCTAACTTTTTTTGGTACATAGTTATAACCTGTATATAATTTTCATCCTAAAATTAGGGTGTTGCGTTTCTATTGACGGTGAGTATACATTGCAATTTAAACAACAGAAGATAAAACTGTCATAATCCAATGAGGGAAAATGTCTATGTGGTTCCAAACCCAAAAATTCCATTTTTTTTTTTAAATAAACAATCAAAGAGTAAAATTGTCTTCCTCTCTCAAAGACATGTACTGTAGCTTATAATTACAATACACGAATATAAAAAATGATACGTTTTAAAAGTAGTTTATGCCATCTTCTTGTTTCAATAATCGAAAAAATTCACAACTGGCATTTCAAAATAAAGAATTGATGCAGCATGAAAATATATTCCATATTATTTGAAAATTATTTTCTTATTAGAACATAATTTGTGTACATGTATTATTTAAATCTAGATCGATGAAAAACTCATCGCAAGCATCTTTTTTATTGTAATACTTTTGATGACATTACATTGAGTAATTTTTCAGAAGGAATATCGTCTCATATGTTTTTTTACTTCACGTAGGACTTTTTTGTACTCGGTAACTTCCCCTTTTTTCCATTGATTGTCAATCTTCTTAAACTTGCAAATCATCCGTCTTATCCTCTCTAGTACAGATACACCAATTTTATCTAATTTATATCTCACAGACGGATCCTGTGTTTCATTATCTTCACCATGATTATCGGATTCAATCGCTTTGTCTGAAAAAGAGGACATTTCTAAATCCCCTTCTTCTTCAACACAAGACATATTTGATACAGCATCACATGTAACTAAGCTAAACCAAAAGTAAAAAAAGAGGTTTGTTTTATAGGAGGGGTTATCAAAAAGTTCGTGGACTGAGGCTATAAAATTGGAACTATGTAGTCTGTGCCTTTAAATTTTATATCGAACATAAAATAACAAAAACGAAAGAAATGTTGAAAATTTTAGCTTGATACGTTCATTTTTGCCAAATTATTATAAAATAAAAACGACATTATATGATCACCCTGCGCTGTTGTTATTTAATTTCATGACGTCCCACTATATACGTTATTGTTTTTCAATGTCAGCTTCTTCTACCTAATACACTTATTTTGACGAGTTTCCCTGAAGTTGAGTAAGGACAAAAAGCTGCCTTGCTTATATGACTTTACAATGTCATGAACAGCGGCTTTCAATGACTATAATATTCCTAATGGATATTTACACTGGGAGAAATCCTCGCTTGATTGTGCCAGCATATTTTGCTTTTGGGGGTTCAATATCAACAACACATGATCAACGTCATTTTTTGACGTGATTGTTTTTTTCATACCTTGACAACAAATCGACATTAACTGTACAATCCTTTTCTCTCCGATTCAATTTTGACATTAAAAGACAAGTGCTCTGAATGCATATTATTTCTTTGTAACCAGTTTAAACATTTCTTAGGTCTATACCAATTTTTTCAGGAGCAAAACCTTATAGAATGTTGGAAAAGGAAACCCTTCCCACCTTTGACGTCATTTTCAAGGCCTTATTTCTTTGGACACTTCATGTAAATTTACGATAAAATTTCATAGAACTTCCAGTATTAAGTAAAAGTTTCATATCTTAGGAAACAACTGTGTCCCAACACACACCTGAATAAATGGGATTTTTTTTTATGTCAAATGGTTATATTCAACGAGTTTTTCTCAGTCACACATAGGTCGCAAAAACGTCGTGTTAGAGGTTGCGCCGACTGGACATACCATTTCTTACAAAAACATTGCTAATTTATTGAAAATTAAAATCTATTATTCATGGTTTATTCCTTAGATAGAAAAAAAAAAATGATGCTGAATAAATATTTCAAAATTCACTGATGTAACTTAAGCTATTTTAATTTTATAGCGCTAGTCCACGAATCTTTTGATAACCCCTCGTACATAGTAGTAAGTTAACTTCAAAACTTTTTCACGTATAACGCTACACACATTTATGTGCTCCATACAAAGTTACATTTATTTAAAAAAAAAACTAATGTATTGTTTTTAATCTGTTCTCAGTATACAGGTATATGTAAGAGTTTTCTTACCTTTTGTTAGGAATAATTCATAACGCCAATTGAAGATGCAATCTTTCTTTTTAGTACCTGCTTTCGCACATTTTATTTCTAGCGTGCTATATTATCATTTGGTAACATATTGCAATTGTATCATTTGATATCCGCATCGAAAAAAAATCATACATGAACGTTTTCCAAATTTTACAAATACTGTTTCAAATGGCTGTAGATAAATAGACATTCCATTAAAATATTATATAGTATTATTCCTATGTTATTCAGCAAAAATAAAGGTAGGGGAGGCTATTTTGTGAAATGTACGATACCGGTTTGTCCGTTTTGTAAGTATTTACATAAATAATTGCTTGACTTCTGCACCTCCCAGGGTCAAGTCTTTTACCACTTTCTGAGATGCTGTTTGTGAACTTTTACCTTTGAACTATAAACTTTGAACCTGAGTTTGAATATTTGATATGTAATCTTTGCTTTGTTGTGTTGCCAGAGGCACCAAAAGCTTTTCATAATTTGTGTCTCTGGATAAACAGCGGTGCCCAATTTTCGTCACAATAAAACTTATCAAATACATAATTGATGTTTTTATATGCACTTATCTGAGATGATATGACGTTGAGTAAAAAAATTGGATCAAAAGTCTACGAACTTTTTGAATGGCCCTCGTATTTTATTTTATTTTATATAGCACACTTCAAATGGTAACAGGATAAACATAAATGTCCTTCAATGTCTCTAATTTACCAGATATAGCAATATATGTTTTCATCATATTTGTATTCGACAAAGCATTCTCTTTTCTAAACCAACGAAGTTAAAAAGGCTTAATTTTGTCTAAATTTTAAATATCATGTTAAATATCAGTTACATGTATGTCTCTCCTCAATAGTTGCACCTAGTCCTAACAGTTACCAATGGATTTTCTTAGTTTACTTTGCTTCGACCAAGCATCTTTAAAACTAAGTTACTGTAAGAGATTGTTTACTCTAAACACCAAAATAATGTTTACAACAGTAAGTTTCTCCATGCCTTTGCCCCCGATGTTGCAATTGGTAACGTTTGACGTTACACTTTCAAAGCGCTACGTAAAAAGTTGACGTAACGCTTCTTCAATGTAACAGTATTACACGCTTGATAAATACCCTATCGCTATATCAAATGAATTTAAAAAATCTTCACATACTGCAATAAGGCTGTCCGGAAATGAAACTTTTGCTTTGCTAAGTATAACCATGTTTATTGGAGTTTCTCATGTTTTTCCAACACAAATAATTATGTAAAAAAATATCTTTGATGAATTTCAAACATCCTAGTATTCAGTTATAAATCATTATTATACTTCTGTTAAAATGTTTCCTATATAAAGTTCAGAATGTAAAATAACTATCCCTAATAATCCTCGCAAAGCAAAGCTATACTCCGGAGTATAGTTTTTGCTATCCACCCTCGGAAAATTTTCATGCAATTGTTGCCGCCTATTTTGATTTCCAGCAATAAATCTTTAAATCGATGATGTCATAATGACTTCGGTAGTATTATGACGTCATCAGGATTTCTGATTATTCTTGCAACATTATCTTACTCCAAAAAAATTCAACCTCAGATATTATGTTATACATTAGTATAATAAAACGCTTATCCACTGGTTTTGAGTGGGATAGCTCTTTTATCAAACCCTTGACAGGAGGGAAGCCCTCGAGGAATAGTTCTCTGTCGCGAAAAAGAGCTATCCAACTCAAAACCAGAGGATAAGCGTATATTATCATTTTTTAATCTTTTAACAATATACAGAAGATAAAAAAAAAAAACTATGAAGATAAGTACAATACAGAATTTTACATCTCTTTTAATAAATGTTACAGGAACGGGATTTCATTTTGAATTTGTGTACTTTAATACTGTATTATTTAAATAAAGTAGAGAAAAATATAATGTAGTTAACTGATTTTCATTTTTTCAAAAAAAAATCATGCAAAAACTAACATGTGTAAAATTTTTGCAACGTAAAAGTTTATTTTCCACCTTTTTTGATTTATTTATGACATCACACTTTCCTTGTGCATTGGTAGCAGAAGATATACATGGCTATTTACAATTACATTCGCATATAACATATAATTATGTATATCATACTTTCAGATTCTTTCAGATAACCTCAGATAGACAACAAATCTGTTACTAAATTACATTTTTTAATTGTATATCTCTATTGAGCATTTACAACATGTAACCAGAAAAAGAAGAATATGTGTTGTAAACAGAAGATGTTCCAGAGAAGCTATCTATCCAAGCCTTATCTCCTGCTTCCATTCTGACGACAGCCATTTTACTGCATGACATGTAGATACTGTGGCTGTTGTTAGAACAATGGTTATAAGCCCTTCTTTTACCATTCAAGACCAGAGAGGTGAAAGCGTATTTGTTCGTGTCAGTCATTATTGTCCAATCAAAGACGTACATTCCCGATTTTGGAGCTGTGAAAATTCCTTTGACCGCGTTGTATCCACGTCCAATATTCAGATCAACATCTCCAAACATTACAATGTCCCCAGTACTGACTGATTGAACACTTCCTTTGGTTTTGGCGTTGAATGCTATGACCATATTTTCTAAGAACAAATAAAGAACACATGAAAAAGAAAACTATTTCTTCAGTGCATTTCATTATATCAAGGATGCAAATGAAATAGTATCTTACTTCTATCATCGTTCTTTTTACAGTGGTCCTTAACATATCCAACAGCCACACAGGTTTTAGCGACACTGTCATAGTCATCTCTGAAGGATTTAAGGCTGGGTCGGGGTGAGACTTTGTCAGTATTAATGATGCAAAAAAGTGAACCAAATACCACGATCAATACTAAGGAATGCATTCTATAAAATACTTGATAAACATAGGAAAAATGATTGAATTCCTCATATTAAACATTTACATTTCAAAATTGAAAGCTCAATGACTATAAATCGTTTTTGATTTTCACGACATGTGAATTTTCGGTCAAACATTAAGGGTTGTAGTTTTAGAATTAAATAAATAGTAATAAATACTAAAAGGATGAGAAAAAAACGTATTCATACTAAATAAAGCTATGACTTTATATTTCCGTCTATTCTTTTTTTTCACTTTTTCCGGATATTCTTAAAAGGTAAGATATTAAAAAGAAATACAGGATTTAAGATTCAATTTTTTTTAAGTAAAAAAAAAATTAAAAACGTTCGTTTTACTTAGTAGTAGGTTATCTTCATAACTTCTTCACGTACATGTATAACGCTACAAAAATTTGTGTATTCCATACAAAGTTACATTTAAAAAATAACCAAATTAATGTTCTTGATCTATTCTTAGTATAAACAGTTTCTTACCTTTCGTTAGGAATACTTGATAACGCCGAGTGAAGGTACAGTCTTTCTTTTTAGTACCAGCTTTTATATATTTTATTTCTAGCTATAGCGTGCTATCTTCTCATTTGGTAACATATTGCAATCGTATCATTTGATATCTGCATCGAAAAAAAAAATTTATGTATAAACGTTTTCCAAATTTTACAAGTACTTAGTCTATTTCAAAAGTGGATGTAAATATAAATATTCCACAAAAATTATATTATACTATCCTTATGTTATTCAGCAAAAACAAAGGGAGTGGGAGGCTATTTTATAAAATGTTCGATACCTGTTTGGCCCCGCGGGGATCCGGGTTAGAATTGGTCCTCAGTACTTCCTTGCTTGTCGTAAAAGGCGACTATATGGGGCAGTCCTTCGGATGAGACCGTAAAAACCGAGGCCCCGTGTCACAGCAGGTGTGACTCGACAAAGATCCCTCCCTGCTCAATGGCCGTAAGTGCAGAGCATAGGCCTAAATTTGCAGTCCTTCACCGGCAATGGTGACGTCTCCATATCAGTGAAATATTCTGGAGAGGGACGTTAAACTGTATACAATAAATCAATCGAAACCTGTTTGTCCTTTCTTTTCACAAGTCTGGAATAAGTATGTTGTGAAGATCACGTAGTTTAGTCACGTAAGATTGACCGGAGACTCATATTGTAGTTCTCTTTTTAATACTTTAGTTGTTTTAGAAACATATTTTTGATATAAATAGTCTAGTAATTACGATAGCAAAAGAAAGAACAAAAACAAAAAGAAAAAAAAGAAAGAGAAAAAACCAAACAAACAGAATACAATCCGAATTATTAAAACTGTATATCACAAAATTATATTTAAGCGACCATAGTAATATTTCTGACTCTACTCAAGTACATTGTAATTAAAAGAATACACGTATTTACCTTCATCACCTGCATACGGAGTAAAACTATATACATCTCACTTCATTCGTTACGCAAGAGCATGCTCTACGTATGAACAATTTCTAAAACAAGGAAAATTATTGACAAGCAAGTTGTTGAAACAAGAATATCAGCAGTATCGTTTAAAATCAGCATTTCGTAAATGCTATGGTCGATAGAATGACCTTGTCAGCAAATTCAAATACAGTTTATCATTGAGTCGAGTGCTGACTGAGTTTTTTCATACTAATTGTTAGTCCATTATTTATACACTGAATTGACGACAGATTTTTCCGTTATTTCCTGATCATGACAAGGAGCACACGGCGGATGTGGCGTGTCAGCAGGGAATGCTTACTCCTCCATGGCACCTGATCCTACCTTTGATGTTTCGGAGGTCCGTGTTTCGCAAGTGAGTTAAGGCTAAATATGGACGTTTTTATGCAGATGAGCTAATAAAAATTCATAAGTTGTATATTTTATGTACAGATAAAGTTCAAATTGATTTTCTTATACATACTTGGTACCCAGGGTTTATTTATGCAAGTGCACATTATGACGTCATGTTATGACGTCATTGTTCTCTCCCATTCAAGGTAATAAATCACATCAACAAAATCGCGTCGGCGCAAGGGCATATCCTATCTAATTTAAAATAAATAATGTATAATATTAAGGAGAATATTAGTAAAATTAATAAAATTGCTGCACAAATCCTATGCACTTTCTCAATCGATAAAAATTTTAAGAAACTTACACTGGACTGTGAATTTTTCTCTGTTTAAACTTAAAACTGCACGGATAGTAACTAAACAATTGCAGTGCCGACATTTGTGCAGCAATATCTTAAATCCTTGGAATACCCTGCGTCTTTTTATACCTTGCTTCTGTAAAACAAAGTAAGGTATGCCCTTGCGCCGAAGCGATTTCGTTGATGTTTCTTGTAAACTTGTGTAGTAGAGGTCGATGACGTCATAATATGACGTCATAATGTGTACTGGCTATTGCATGTCGTGGGTATTAAGAATGTATAAGAAAACAAGTCTTAACATTTTCTGTGCAGTAGGTAGAGCAATTCTGTAATTTAATTATATATTATGATATCCGCAGTGTTAAGGTAAAACTTTCTTATTATTTCCTTTATATTTAAAGTGTTCTTCCAGCTAAGCCGAGTTCTTACTATTACCAGTACAATATACCAGTTTAATGTCCTTCGACCAAGCACCTGTCTATTCAAGTCAATGTAATTGTCTGATGTCATGATAGTAATCTGATTTTTTTTTGCTTCTGCTTAGTATGTGGTCGTTAGTCAAGAGTTCAACTTCTTGAAAGTGAATAGCGTATATTGGAAACTTGTAAATGTCAAGTTTCTTCGAATATATTAATTCATTTTCAAAAGAAAATAACATTTTTTAAGTTTACTTGAAAAAAAAACAACAACAACAATTTTTAATTAAGGAATTATACAGTTCTTTTATTTAAAAAATAGGACGGATATTGAATTTAATGACTTAGACAATAAAGCAAGACCCGTATCTGAATGCTATATACATGTTTATACTGAAATACTGTATTATTCATGTGAAGAAAATAATTCTAAAAATAACTGTGTACACTCTTTGTATATTACATCCTGTGCCAACCCTCACAAGTAATATAAGCTATAATCATTAATTTCTTAATTATTTTTGACATACCGTAAATACCGTTCTACATCTGCATCGATGAAAACCACGTGCACTTCAAAATCCATCAGCTTATTTCGTATTTTCATGAATATTTTTACATCACAAAATTTGCTATGAGAGCAATATGTAATTTTCCTGTGTAAAGGAGGCAGAACAAACTTACACATAAGGATATTTACAACTGCATGTATATATCACGCATAGCATTAATCTTTGTGGGACCTCGGATACACAAAAAATCTATTCCTATAGATTACATTTTTAATTGCTAATCTCTGTTAAGCATTCACCGAATATAACCAGAAAAAGGAGAAAACTTATGGTAAACAGTTTATGTTCCAAAAAAGCCATCAATCAACTGGCAGGCTTTATCTCCTGTCTCCATTTTTACGACAGCCATTTTACTATTTGTGGTAACTGTGACTGTTCATTTAAAGGTACTTGGACACAGATTTGAAGTCAATATTTTCACTATAATATTACGATTTATATATTTTATTAATAGCGCTTTACTCAAGAATTATTTACAAATCTTATTTCATTTAAAAGTTATTAAAACTTCAAATTTTTTGGCGGGTTTGATTGACACATCCTAGCACTTTTACAAATTTTAATCTTATTCTTAATCCTTAGGAAAAGTGGCAATCTTGTTGAGTATTGATGAGAAATATTAAAACTTTTATTCAGAAAAATAATTTTATTCAGGGTAGAAATGTTAGAAAGCAAAACTCCTTCACAAGTATCGTCATTCCAAACTAAGAGTTCCGTACAGAGTTTAACAAATCGAGTACACTCGTGTTATGTACACAGTTTTTGTAAACAAGACAATAGTTTTGTTATTGTTTATGTTTACAATTCATCGGGTGCGTTCAATAGTCACAGTCTGCTTACCACAACTGTACGGACTGATAATATATTGCATGATTGTTTTGCTTTCGAACATGTCTACTCTGAATTTTCTAGATTATGGTATTAAAATTTTTCATTCATACACAACGAGATTGCCACTTTTCCTAAGAATTAAGAATAAAATTAATTTGTAAAAGTGCAAGGATGTGTCAATCAAAACCGCCAAAAATTTTGAAATTTTAATATCTTTTATATGAAATAAGATTCTAATTAACATTTGTGTGAAATGGTATTAAAATATATAAGTCGTAATATTATAGAGAAAACAATAACTTCAAATCTGTGTCCAAGTACCTTTAAGTCACTATCAAAACAAAGATTTTTGAAAAAAAAAAAATAAAGAGGAAGGTATGGGATCTCAGAAAATATCAAAATTAGAAAAAAAAAAAAAACCAAAAAAAAAAAAAAAAAAAAAAAAAAGACTATCGCATAATTTTCCTTTTCTGTTGTTAAACATTTATTTTCTTTTTAGGTAATATCAAATATGTCAGCTTCCGCTTACGCGTCTTCAGAAGAGACGACGAATGCTTGCAGAGCAAATCGACTTCTCCTGGGTCCATGTGCAGATCAACAACGTGATGTTTTACGTCATTATGTGCCACCCTCAGCAATTGCACAAGTAACTGTACAAAAGAGTAAAAACTTTGCTTTTTGACGGCACCACAACGAAATCTTATATTGCCTAAGAATAGTTTTTATAATGGAAATTACAATGATATGGACATTTCTTTATTGTACACACTGCTCAGAAACATTTGTAACATATATAACCGCCTCACAACAAAGACTGGGGAAATTATCCAGATCTTTCCGACAGATCTCCCTCAGCTAACATTGAGAAAATTCGGTTTGCTAGAAATCAATGTGGAAATTCTACCAGTTCTGTTTTATCAAATGCTGCTTTCAACACAATCTGGTCTAATGTTAGATCAGAAGTTGTAGACCTTGATTCTTTTCTTAACAATGGAAATAAGTATGAAAGAGAGGTGGACTTTTTGAGATACGAAACAATGGACCCTGTCCGAGACAAATATTATATAGAAGAAATGAGAAAACAGGCTAAAGAGGATGCAGCAATTAAAAGAAGACTTCGAGGCCTCAAACGTACTTTTGATAATTAGAATTTTAGAAAAAATGAAATGTAGTCATAAAATATTTTAGCCACCTTTCTTGCTATTTGTGCAGTTACATGAAGTACTTATTTTGCTTGCAGGTAAAATGGAAAGGAATGAGGCAGATCGATGTAAAAATCAAAACAAAGTATTAAAAATGATTGGTTAGTACCTTGTTAATACTTTTAAGTTTACTGAACTATTTTAAAAGCCTTTAAGCCAGATGAACATTCGCAGCATATAATCCGTTTCAATGAACATTGATATTTGATATAAATATGCTTCAGTTATTGAAATAGATAACGTTTCGATTGGTTATTGATTATTTTTCTCTTGGTTTAATATTTACTTTGACTATTAATATAAAAAAAAAGAGCTATTGAAGGTAAAAGAATGTAAATATCATTATAGCAGTTGCCTTTCAATTACTTAAAAAATGTTATTTCAATCATTTCAGCATAACTTAGATGTAAATCTCAGATTTGATCTCGGTTTCCAAAAGAATTGCCATCTGCGTTGTAAATTAATATTGGGGTTAAATAGAGAATATTTCGGATCAAATTGTTACACAGCAGATCGTTTAGAAATAAATCACATTTTCGTTGTTATTTTATTCTGTGACGAAACAATAAACCTCAAGCTTAAATAAATTTTCTTTCAGATGAAATCAAGACACTAGCGTGTGCCATTCCTCCAAATGTTAAGGGTATGTATTATGATATTCAAATTTAAGTAATTTTTTTTATGTTGGCACTGCAAAATTCGGTTAGTTTAGCAATGCGAATGGCTCTTCACATTTTCTGATTATCTGTGATTGCCTTCGAATGCAATAATCCTAACTAAAAAACTGTCTCCTGGTTGTATTAAAACACAAATTACTTGAGGTTAGACATTATAGCTCACTGATTTGAAGGCCGCTGAGATGAGCTTTTCTGATCAAAGAGGGTTCGGCGTTCGTCTGTCGTCTGTTAACTTTTCACATAACTTCTCAAGAACCACTGGTTAAATTTCAACCAAACGTGCCACAAAAAATGGCTAATAAGGATTCAAGTTTGTTCACAGGTAGTGCCATGCCCTCTTTTAAGAAGATATAATTAAGAATTCATAAACAGTTCATGGCGTCTTTTAAAATTTTCTTTTCAAAAACCACTGGGCAAGAAAATAAGGGACTAATGTGAAAGCTCCATTACATACTGTGAATTTAAATATCTTCATATCATAGCCAAAGGGGGTACGTACATGTAGGGCGGGGCCACAAAAGGGGGCAATTTTTTTTAGATATAGGAATATTTTAGAATCTTATTGAGAGCATCAAAGCTACATGTACGTTTAGTCATTATTACAAAAGTATCCTCAGGTAGTATACAATAAAATTGTTCAAATTATGATCCCTGAGGATACAGCAGATCAAAAACCGGAAGGGGCTGGCGAAGTTTACCAATCTGAGAGGAATATGTACGAAATATCTTTAAAAAGCTTCTTCCCAAGAACAGCCAGCCCATTATTAGACATGTTTATACTGTGACAGGAGTGTAGATTCAAGTTTGTTCAAATCATGATTCCTGGGTTATGGCGGGCCATAACAGTGGTTAGTTTTAAAATAGGGATATATAAGTAATTTGATTAAGGGGCATTGGGAAAAACGCGTTAAAGACTTCACATACTACTAGTAGAATGAACTGTCAATCCTTGAAATAGAATAGCCTAAGGGTATATATGGTTTTGGAAAGTTGGGCAGTCAGAAGTTTGATGTTGATGTGTGATGATGAATAATCAACATATTAAATGACATTGAATACAGTGGGATCTAATTAATACACATCCTGCATCAGTCCGAGACACAAATATCTATCTGATATTGGTCGAGGGCTGATACAGGATGTGATTTGGAAAAGGATATGTTTATTATATTTCCTACATACTTAGTAATAAAACCCAGTACACATTAAGTTGAGAATAAAATAAGTAAATACTCATGCACGGACCTACATGTACACGGTCTGTTGTCTCATACGGTTTGGGTTTGTTTCTACATGTACTTCTATTCCAAATGTGCTCGATCCGTACTCTTACAAAAATTTATTATTTGTCAATTAGATTATCCTTACATTCAAAAAGTGTGATATTAATCCGCAACAGGCCTGCAAATCCATATCAGCCCTGCAAATCCACATCAGCCGTTTAGTCCAATCGGAACTCGGATGTTTCGCGACCTCAACAATAACAGATGCGAAACATCCGAGGAGTCCCGATTGCCTGCTTGTCTGATACGGCCATTGTGACGTCAGTAATAATTTATTACCAAGTATGTAATAAATCTTCAGACAGATTTCTCTTAATAATAATAATAATCTGATACAGTATAAAGAAAAGCTATATATCCCCTACAAGATTCTGATGAAACCATTACATACATAGTTTGTTAAAAAAGTGTCCTCTCAGGGGTTAGAGACACAACACATGATCAAAGTTTCTATAAGCATATAAAGGAATCATTTTGAAAAAAAAAATTACTCCAGAACAGCAATAGTCATACATGCATTAATACATGTATATTTAAATGCACCCTCAGGTAATGTACGTATATTCAAATTTGATCAAATTCCCGGTGGGTAGGGGGTTACAATTAACATGCAGAGTTAAACATAGGGATACATAATAAAAAAGTCTTTGATTTTTATGTCTGAACCACCTACTTATAGCCCGGCAGATATGTGAAAAGATTGTGCTATTGGTGATACAAGCATGAAATTTGGGACACTTATAGAACCATCTACTAGGAACATATTTGGATGTAGGGACAATTCAGAATTTATGATAGAGCCAAAATGGCCGCCGTTTTTCAAAATGGCGGCCATTTTTTAAAATGGTCATTTTTGTTTCGTACGTAACACAAGATTGATGCAGTATAGATATATTTTTTTAATTTGAAAAAGCACACCAATGATGATTTTTACAATACAGCACACTTTGGATTTTCTCATTATTCACAAAAATTAAATTTTAACTATCCAAAGTCAGAAAAAGCTGCGAAAATGAACAGAAAATGTCATTTAACACCAAATGTCATTTTAACACTCTGGAAAATGTCTCTGCTTGAAACAAAAAAACAAATTTGGAGCCAAGTGATATGGCTACCCATGATTGAGTACAAATTTAACAGTAATCCATACTCCCTAGAGTAATCTATCCTGTGCATTCCCCTCCACAGTAACACAAAGCTGTACACTGGAGTGCAGCTTTCACACACTTGCACTGCCCTCTGCAGCCCTTTTTGCATCCGCATGTAATCAATTGTCGACACGCCTCTGTTGCCTCTGGGAGGGTTGTCCAATATATCCCCCAGCCATTTTCATTCTTAACCCAACCCCATTCAGTTGGCGAAGGAAGCTCTGGTATACAAATCATCATTTGCCCCCAACAGAAACCGGCTTGATATGCAGCTCTCTTGATGTGTTGTCTAAGTGCCTCTAGAGTTGGTGGAATGGCCTCTATTGATCTTCCACTCTGTGTAAAGAGATGTTTGCGAGCCACGTTAACATGTTCCTGGCAGCTGGTACAATCGTAGAGTAAGACAACAAAACGCTCCAAAACATCCATGTAGTCATCCACACTTGAAATGGTTGGTGTGACAGCCAATGCACTGAAAGCTTTTGTGACTTCATCAGATATCTCATTACAGGCTCTCCATGTCTCCCATGCTGTTTTCTTCCCTCCCACTGAAACATGACACAGTGTCACATCCAGTAAGGGCGTGAAAGAATGGCAAACCATGGCACTTGCTCGGTCCCAGTGTCATGGCTATCTCGTGAGCTGCCACGTATCTGAAGTTCTTTCCTGTGGCAAAAGCAATCCATAATTCTTCAATTTCCAGTCTTTCTGCTGCTGTCACTGCAAGGACCACAACGTCTGTATCCACTGTACGGATTGACACTTTAGTATAACCCTGCCTCACTGCATCTTGAACATGGAGTAGTATTCTCGTATCTGCCTCCTCATGAGTACATGGAGCAAGACCAGAAACATCCCGGGATAGTGTACAGAGCACATCTTTGTGGTTTGTGCTGATGATTTGCTTTGTAGTTTCTGCGGTTGCCATCCTCATTGCAAGAAAGGCAAACAACTCTACTTTGTTTTCATCTATGCGAAGGAAGGCCTGCCAGTTTCCGGGGATGGAACTATGTGGCTCAACTCGCCTTCTAATGCCTTTACCCCTCTTCTTCCTGGTGTCTGATTTCAAACTCTCTGGAAAGTATTCATCCCAAACAATATCCACCCTGCTCGTATGTTGCAGCTGAGATATGATGTAGGGCAAGAATACTAATGATGAATACTCGGAGAAGGTTTTTGCATTACCAGGTGCCAGCATGTTGACGATAGCTGCTCCATCTAGAATCATTACTTGAACAGGAGGACTAGCAGTGTCATTTTCGCGTGGAGTAATCTGATCTTCTAAACACTTAACCAAATCAGATTTTGTTCCTTGCCTAATTTTGCCCATGTGTGACAATGCTGGGGGACAAGCCTGATTCTCATGTGCAAAGAATACATCAAGATCTCCATCACGAGTCTGGGACGCAATGAACAATCTGGAGAACAAGTTGCAATCATTTTTGAGGGATGAAACCTGCAGCTCTGTCCTTGACTTCTGTCTGACTGATGGCCGGTTGAAGAGAGGAAGATTGTTTCTCTTTATTGGGTCAGTGATAGGCTTTGTTTGATAAATAAGCCTCTCACTGACATACGTGTCATACTGTTCTTGACCCAGCTGCTCAATCTGGTGTAGAGTATTGATGACTGCTGTATCTGCCAGATCTCTGCTATCTAACACCAAGAGATCTTTGCTGTCTTCACAGAATGGATTCCCCATCTCTCTGATGGCATGAGTGAGGGCTTTTACATCGCCAGCAAAGGCTATCTGTGTGTATTTTGTTTGTTCATGGTGCTTGAGTTCAATTTTCTTCGTTCTCTTCTCTGTTGTGTTTTGAAACTCTGAGATCAACCTGGCCATCTCTGGACCAGACACCATCCAGCGGCGCAAAGCTGCAGGATTCTCTGTCAGACCTACAGCCCCTCCATCATCTTTAACCAATGCATTGTTTTGTTCGTGTGCCTGATCAAACGGTATGGCAGAGAATGCACGTGTGGTCTTTTTCACGGTAAAGTTTCCAGCCAGAAACTGTGTGTATACACTTGGATGCTTGCTTGCAAGTGTCACCATATCCCGTAAATGAACTGGGACCCACCTGGCGTAGTTGGTATGTCCCAGGGCAAAGAACCAAGGAACAAGTTTGCTCAAAGCATCAATATACAGCAGAAAATTTCCTTCTCACATAGATCAGGACTGTCAGTTCCAGCTGCAGAATAATGAACCAAAACTGGAACTGTGGGCTTGCTTCAACTCGTTCAGTATTCCAATCATCCAATGGCTTTGGATCCTGTCCTTCAGTTAGTTCGCTGGTGTACTGTTTATGGGCTTCCTTCATGAGAAGATAAAGACTACAAGCTGTGACTTGGTGTGCTCGTCTCGTGCGTGTTACATGTGACGCTTTCAGAAAAGAATCAGCGGTACCAGCTGTAGCAACTCCTGCAAGCACCAAAACACCTGTCCAACCACTGCCATCCAATAGGTCTCCGACGGCTTTCCATGCAGCCATTTCAATATGGAGTCCTCCAAAGACAATGACGAAATAATCCTCTCCATGTGTTTCTGGCCATCTCCACTGGATCTGTTTGGCAAGTGTGTACAATGGTTGATCAAGTGTAATTACAGGGATCTGACCTGGATTCAAAATATCCACAGCTCTTTTGATGACATCCATCGAGTGACGAATCATTGCAACAGATTTGGCTTGGTCATAAAAAAGAGGCAGCAATGAGTTTAAAGCTACGCTACTTTCTGGTTCCTCTGGAATAGACTGTTTGCTGGCATGGTATGCAGCCCATGACACGGTATCGTCTTCCTGGAGTACTGTGTCAGATGCTACCGTCTTCTCCATCTGCTCCAGCCAACTGTTAAAATACAACAACAAAATGAAGTGGTGATCACACACCTTAACAAGATTGGTCATTAAAACACACAAATTTTCAAAGCTGAAATGTACAAATCCAGTATTTGCTATTACATACCTGAATTCATCCTGTAACGCTTCAGGGATTAGCTGGCAGTCACTTTTGTTGGAGCCCTCTAGCTTAGGTATAGGTATATCGCCTCTGCCCAAAATAACAGGAGGTACCATAGTGTATGACTGTGGTAGGTGTGCAGCACCTGTTGCTGTCTCATCTGAAACTTCCCTTTGAACTCCATGGCTATTGCTACTTGGGTGCTGGAAAAGAGAAATACCCGTACCGTGAAAGGAATCTTGGGCACTTGTCGAGCTGGGGTTATGATCAATGTTATCCACTGCCCCAGTCGTGAACAGACCACTCTTTAGCACAGGGGGGCAAACTGTACCCTCCTTTTGGAAGAAGCGGCAAACCTTGTCCCCTAAATACGTGGAGATGCCCAGTACTCTGTCATAGGAAATCGAAAGGCCTAGATGGAACAAAGTATCAACAAGGTCACGTTTCCGAGTTTTTGTATGCATTAGTGTACCCAGGTACACAGGCAGAGGAGTCTCCCGATTGCTATTGTGTCTTGTAGATTCAATACTGCTGGTACTCCCTCTGCGGCGTGTGTAACAGTTGAACATCAACAGTTGTGAGATTGTGAGAGTAGGTGTTGATACAGATGATTGGCTTGACTGCTCTTCGATGTTAGGACCGTTCAAGATCATACCAACTAACGCTACAAGAGAAGTAGGCACCGACTGTTCTTGGCAGTGTGGTTCAAATGAACCACTGAAGGTTGTTTTCAGTTTTAACATGTCTCTTCGGACTATATTTGCAGCTCTGGCAAGACAAACCCCATCATTGTCAGTGTCCTGATAACATGCCTTCTTGAGAGCTGAGCCTATGTTTTCGTTGAAAGCAAGCAGAACATCTCGACCTGATTTGTGCTCCTCAAGGTCTGGAAAATATGTCATGATTCGATCTTTAAGTTTAGTTGAGTGAACACGTCCAGTCATGATGGTCCCAAGCTGTTCCATTCTAGTGGTGTAAAGTTTTGACAGATCTACCAGCTTGAACACTGGTGCTACAAGATCATTCATACGGGCATCATCTATATACGATACCAACTCTCCAAGTGCTATACCATGATTGACGTCATCTTGCTCATCCACTGTTGTCTTTGTGGCCCTAGCTTTGTTATACAGGGAGACCAGACATTTCACGTGATATTGAGCATCTTGTGCTATAAGGTCTCCTGCACTAAGTTTAGCAAGAATCGCTTTATCGCCTAGTTTCAGAGCAGCTGTTCTTACATGTTTATCGAGATCAAACGTGGAAGCTTTGCGCAGAGAATCAGTACCGGATGGCTTGTCACAAAAGAAACATTTTTCAGGCAATGTCTGCGCATCTACGGTCTGACGGGTGTACTTTCTTGAAGCACTTGTAGTGTCTTCAGTAGTAGACATTTTCCTCTTCTGTGCCCGTTGCAATGCAGTTTTGTTATACTTTAATCTGCACGAATCATGCCACTTAGCTTTGTGGTTCTGAAAGGTCGATTGAATACCATCTCCTTCATCAAGGCGGGACATGTCTAAGGATTTTGGCAAGCAGCCGATCTGACTGAAGCTGTGGAGATTATCTGCTAGAGTTTTATATCCAGACCCTGTGCTGCGCGTAGAATCAGCTGGACAGGAAAGGGTCTCAGCAGTGTCCTCTTGACATAACACGCACTTGTTCCAATCAGTCAAATAAGGCAAGTCTGTTCCAGATGTACTAGGCTGTTGGGGATCTAAAAGCTTGAAAAGTTTATTTGCCATTGTAATTCAGGCAGTATGCACCAATATAATTCAGTCAGTGTGAAAATGGGAATCAGCATCTAGCAGCTAGTTCATGAAAGTGGTTAATATGCATAAGAGCATTACCTGAAAGCAGAAACAGAAAAGCATTAATTTGTTAAAAAGTTCATAACAGTCACTTAAGTTATAAAGATATTGCATGGAATGTACATAGCAGTCAAACACACGCTTATTACATCGTGTTTTATATACAGTATGCACAACATTGCCGAATTAGTAGCCAAAATATACAATAATACCCGCCATTTTTAAAATGGCCGCCATTTCAGTCCAGTGATGAATCTGAAATGTCCCTACCTCCAAAAATTATTGTAAAGGTATGTACTGACTGTGTGCAAATTTTTATGCTTGTATCACTAAAGGCACAATTCTTCCAAAATTTTCACATATCTGCCGAACTATTACAAAATTAATGTAGATTTTGAAACTGATACTATTACAGGTTTGGATTAACAAACTTACAAGTTTGAAGTTACAAACTTACAGTTCTGAATCTTTTAACACTTGTCAATCAATTTCCATAAGTGAATATCATATTTGACAGTATTTACCGTGTGGTCGGAATCAGTTAGTTATTGACCCAGAGTATGACCACTGTAATTGACATCAACATAAGGACAACTAATTGAAAAACAATACAGTCTTTGTTATTTTGATTTAGATCTTTATGAAAAAGAAATCCTTATGTGGATAGAAGAGGACGCATTTTCTTATGAAACTCACAATTTCCATGCAATGCTGGATGAAGTCAGGAAACAACCTTTCATGACATTTGTTGGGGTTCCTGGGTCAGGGAAATCAGTGACGATTCGTCACATAGCCTTGATTCTCAAAAAGGAAGGATATGAGATTGTACCAATTAGAGATGTCAGGAAGATTGAAGATTATTGTGACGCTCGAATCGGACAGGTATTTGTCATCGATGATATGGTTGGCGTAGTAGGTCTTAACAAACAAAAGTTTGAATCATTGATAGACAACAAAAAAATAATTTCAAATCCCGATAATAAAGGTACTAAAGTACTTATGTCTTGTAGAAAAACAGTATTTTATGAATGTCCCAAATCATTTTTCTCAAATGAAAAAAACCTAGTCAAACTATACAGTCCTTTAAATACCTTGAACGATGATGACAAACAGGAGATTCTTCAAAGACACGGCCTAAGTAGAGATTTAATATCTCCTGAAATGCTACAAGAAACATCAGATATGTTTCCCCTTTTGTGCAATCTATTTTCCAAAAAGGAAAAAAAATAGGAACAATGTCAATAAGTTTTTTACTTGCCCTGTTGAATGTATTTTAGAGGAACTAGAACAAATCCAACATCGAAATAGATTACACTACACGATTTTGGTTCTATTGGTGTTATTTGAAAACAAATTATCCAAAAAAATTATAAAAAGCACAGGAAACAAGGATTTATTAGAAATGAAATCAAAAGTACTAGAAATATGTGAGGTGGAGAGTCGCACAGATGCATTCAAATTTGATAAAGCTTTGTCTGCAATGGAAGGAACTTACACAAAACTCTGTGTTACTGAGTATACCTTTGTTCATGACTCAGTCTTTGAAATCGTTGCGTATCATTTTGGATGTCAGTTTCCAGATCTTATTTTGCAATATAGCAGTAGCAGCTTTATTGCGAACAAGTTGAAACTTCAGGAACAAGGAAAACATGAATCGAAGGAGGAAAACGAGCGCAATAGTGAGAATGATTCTCTCATTGATGAAAGTGAACATAAAGATGGTAATGTTACATTCAGTGGTGAAAATAATGATCACACTGATATCTGTATATGGCTGAAAGAGGATCATGTTCCCATGCTAGCAAAGCGCTTGTACAGGGATATAGAGAATATGGAACTGTATGATGTTTTTATGAATGATGCTTTAAAACAGCCAAATCTGTGTCAAGCTTTTATTGAGGTGTTGAAAACAAAGTCATATTCAGAGCTGAAATCCTTATTTTTGTCAAAGCAGGAAGATGTACCTAAAGTAGTGAGTCAACAGAACCGTGCAAGGACAAAACATGAAGGTTGGAGAATGGAATGGCAGGATGTGCTGGTCAATAAGAGGTCCGGAAAATACAGTGTGAGAGTTATCAGTTGGGTGGTTTTCTACGGACACAATCAAATTTTGCAACATATTTTAAAACAGACTGAATTAAACAAAGAAACAGAATCTGAATTGTTTTGGAATCCATTTCACGAAAAGTTTAAACAATTTAAGAATAACATGGAAAAAAAGGTTGAAAAGGACAGCTCAGGTTTATTATACGCGGGAAATGATCCCAGAGGACAAATGGATAAGATAAATGAACTAAGTTTTGATTACAGTGAAATAAAGTCTGAACGCTATCGATAACTTTTACTTGGTTGTTACAGTGGTAATTTAGAGATTGTTAAAACATTCATTAGATATGTTTATATCGATGAAATTAACATTGGTTTCTTAACTGTTGACGTCTCTGACAATGAGGATGTTTTTCCAATCACACCACTTACCGCGGCATGTGAAGGTGGGCATTTAAGTGTTGTCAAAGAGCTGTTGAAAGTTGGATTTCACGATGATATTCCAGGTTTAGATAATACACCACTGACTGCAGCTTGTGAGTTCGGACATTTAAGTATAGTGAAAGAGCTAATAAAGTCTGGGATTGATGTGAATATTGAAAATTGTGAACGAAGAACTCCCCTCCATATGGTAGTTTTAAATTATACAGAAACTCTCATGACTTCTCTTCAAATGCTTAATGACCACGGTGCAGATGCAACAATAGATGACCTCGATAATCAATCACCACTATTCTTTGCGTTATTTAAGAACAAAGCTGTTGTTGTGAAGCAATTGTTAAAAAATGAGAATAAAAATCAGTTGAATAAATTAAAGAAACATTTGTTTGACTGTTTAGTAAACATCAGGCAGAGTGACGTGATGACTGATACATTGTACTCTTTCACAAACACAGTTGAAAGAGTTACGAACTTCCTGATGATCAGGTCATCACTATTGGAAATGAGCGATTTAGGTATCCTGAAGCCATGTTCCAACCCTCCTTCCTTAGAATGGAATCTGCTGGTATACATGAAACAACAAACAACGGCATAATGAATGCAACGTTGATATCCGTAAGGACTTGCACGCAAATACTGTTTTGTCTGGTGTTTCAACCATGTACCCAGGTATTGCTAACCGCATGCAGAAAGAAATCGTTACGTTGGCCCTGTCCACAAGGTCAAGGTAATCGCTTCTCCAGAGAGGAAATACTCCGTGTGGATCGGTGGTTCTATCCTTGCCTCCCTCTCCACTTTCCACCAAAAATGGATCAGCAAGCAGGAATATGACGAATCTGGTCCCTCCATTGTGCATAGAAAGTGCTTCTAAGAGCTATTCACAAGTGATGCTCAATTCAAAACATATTCATTCTATGTAACTCTTTTACTTCAATGGTATGACAGAAAAGTCAAATAGATTATTTTTTTAAATAATATTCTGTCTGAAATTTTGGTTTTGCCCGGTGGGTTAAATTATATGGTATCTCGATCTCGATGTCTCAACCATTTATTACATTTTCATCTGTGTTTGTAGTTAAATAAGGCACAGTCATGCATTGAAGATAACAAATGACAATTTTTCTATTAAAGATATTAAACTGCTGTAAACCTCTATCATTTCTTAGAAAAATATTTATTAAAAAAAAATTAAGTCAAGTATAAAATATTTTGTTTTAATTTACAGGTGACTCCCGATCTCTCGAAGTTCAAGGGAACGAGAGAAAAGTTAGAGAGATCGAGTATTTCGAGAAATGGAAAGTAAAAGAATCCGGAATTTTCAGTTCCGATCATCGAAGTTCCACTTTTACAGATACCGGAAGTATATGCACGTTTTCAATCGTATTTTACAGGTAATTTACTTGACACTTTACGACACTTTACAACAACAATGATTGTATTTCGAATAAATTAAACATATTCCTAAAGATTCAATATTTATTTGTTCCTATTTCATAAATACATGAAATCCGAATAGCAATTGTAGGTTTAGCTATTCCGTGGCGAGATCGGGTCCTCCAACTTGTTTTTTTTTTTAAATCTGTATTCTCCCTTGAGAAAAAAATTTCTTGTGTAACATTTCCCATACTGGAATTATTTAGATTACATATGATCATTATGAACGTTCATAGCCAATGGAAACTTACTGAAACGAACATCTATATCAATGAATTTAAAAAAAATTATCGTCTCGGTTTGAATTCAAGATAAGTTGTGAATATGTTCCTAAGTTACCCTGTGATAATAATTATTTCATAATTTGCTTTAGGACCGTTCCAAGTATTGAGTATATGCTTTGAAGAGCCTGTTCAATTCCCTACTTTTCCTCTCCCCTCACATTGGAGTCAGAAGCAAATTGAAAGTAGGAAGGGGAGGGGGGGTAATTTAAAGAGGAAAAAAAAAACATCATTCAATTCTGAAATACCTTAAAATTTAAATACTATTTAGGGGATCAAAAATTTGAATTTCCATTTTTCTTCTTTGACTGCAACACAACGTGCCTGTTGAAAGTTGGTAAGGGTCTTATCCTATGCCTTAATGTCCAATGCATATATTCTGTCTACCTTTGCAAATAAAGCGGGGGAGGGTCGCTATCTCCCCCCCCCCCATTCTGACGTATTTTCCTCACCCTGTGCAAATATTTCATAGCGTCTTTTGACTTTCATTCATTATCATCATTTGTGGTTTGTTATAAAATCTATTTCAGAGTACGGTATTCACTAAAATTTTCCCAACTCTCTTTTTATGCAAAGAATAAAATAATTGAGCCTCAAAATTTTCAACAAATACTTTTTATTTTGCTAAACTTACTTGTCCATCGAGGTAATTCCTTTTCTTTTTTATCCTACTTTCTTTGATAAATTTAATATAATTTGTCCGAGATCGAGATCAGTGTGCACAAATTAAAGAATTGAAGAGAAGGATCTGCTTTAATGTAACCAAGAATAAAAATCACACATTAAAGAAAAATTCAAATGATAGAATATCAGTCTTTTTCAGAGCTTGCTTTGTTCACTATAAACTTGATCATGCATCCCCTAACCCGACCCTATAATCTCAAGCTGGGTAGGTACATGTATAAGTAGGTAGGTTCTAAGTAAATATTTGTTTCTGACAGTACATTAAAAATACAATTTAAAATTAAAAAAAAATACGTGTAAATAAAAGTTATTTCTTTAAAAAAAAAAAAAAAACTATGACTGGGCGAATTTAAAACGGGGCAAATCAGTTCGCAAGTGCAAAAGGGCGAAAATAACACGGGGCAAAAACAACCCTGTATACAGTACATGATATAGAAAACAAGGGAACATAGACAAACTATTTATTACGTCAACTCATTGAATAAAATGCAGTGAAAATTATGTGTTTATAAGGTAGTTTCCTCATCTTATCAAATTGCGTTGCGTTTGAACTTAAGCTTGAAACGTAGTCGTTATTTTATAACAATATCTGACCCTCTGTGACCATGCCCTTGTTGGTGATGCCATTTATTCCCAGTGTAGGTCTGTTTATAAATTCAGACCTGCACTCGGTAATTACAGATCAAAGACGAATCATTTTCTGCCAGAACCTCAGCATCATGGAACCTTGATTATAATACGAATATAATATTTGTCCTTTTCTGTCCGCACGGTCTGCAATGGAACTGAGAGGTTAAATGTAATGCATTTGTATGATTGTTTTTAGAACATAAACTCTAACTTGAAATAGAATTTAACAGTTGGGTGAGTAAATCAAAACTACGAAACTTGATCCAAAAGTAATATCACTATATATGTCAATATCTTTAATATTTGGCGTCATATTATAAAATATAATATACCAAAGATACATGAAAATAAACCTAATCAAAATTGAAATTTTCATTTAATAATGTTTCATTATAATGAATAGACGTTTAAAATACAAAACTAAACGTCAGGTTTTAAAGTGTAAATTGTTAGAAGGAGAAAAACCCAAAAATATTAAAAAGCTTTAAAAAAACTTCTAATCGCCAAATTTTTTAAAAGACAATTTTTTTCGATATTTTCTACATTTAATTTGAAAATAAAATGACGTCATTGTTTTTAATGATAAAAACATGATTTAATCTGCTGTCTTGAACAACGGAAATGTCGAAATGTAGAAAAACCGCTAAAGCGAGCTTTGATGCAGATTTACTACAAAATTGGAAAATCGCACGTAGAAACAGTTACGACAATGAATCAGACATACAGAGGAAAGAATGTAAATAATTGACATATTTAAGGTGTTTTCAGCAGATTTTAGCGAGTCGTGGATCACTGAATGATCAGCAGAGGACAGAAAGACCACGAAAACGGAGGATGGGGGGATGGGTCCAGCGGAAACGTTCGGCGTTGTCTGACGTTGTCTAAAAGGAGATACGGTTAGACAGTTACACCGATATCAGAAACTTTAAGTTTGTCTTGTGATACTGTTCGAGTAATTTTAAAAGAGGACTACAATATGGGAAATGAGTGTGCAATGAGTAACATTTTTTCTTTTAAAAGAGAAATATATGTGAATGTGTTCATGAATCTCAAATATTTTTGATAAAACGAAAGGGAAGCGTTAAAGTGTATGACGGCGGGTATCCGTCATATAATGTTTTTGGGGTGCAGCAACTACCATAATTGCACTTCAATATTTTAAAAAGTGTGAAACGTTGTAATTTGGTTTTATCTGGACTGATTTGTCAGCTTTGAAGATGTATAATATCGTTCAATAACATCGACTAGTAGCAATTTTATCGAAGTTGTGACATTACTTTTGGATCAACTTTCCTATATTGATCATTTGTTAAAAATTTGGAAAGTATACAGACAAACATAAGAAGTACTTGACAAAAACAGCGAAGGTGTTACAAGACCTTAGAATAGCAAAGGGCACAAAGACAGATTTATATGCAATACTCTTAAATATTAGTGGTATCGTTGTTCAAATTCTTACTCGTTACTGCAATGATAATATCTGATTTCGAAAAATATAGAAACTGTTCGTCAATTGGACAGTATTAGAATTCATTTTATGGTAGTCCACTCCTTTGGTTCATGAAATTAGCAGATAAGTGATCGAAAATACTTATAGAAATATTTCTGAATCCTAAAAATAATGTAATATTTCAAAAAATATTTCAAAAAAGTTAAACGATAAAGTTAATCATATCACATAGGAAAAATTGTCAAATTTTCAATATCTAACAGATGTTATATTTTAATTTGTTCTAATAATTAGCGCATTGTCTATAAAGCACGTTCCCAGCTGCGTTTATTTGTTGTGTGCGAACCATATTATAATGTATTCTGTAGTGTTGATAATGTCTGTTCTGCAATGTAAGTATTTGTCTTGTGTGTATTGTTTTGTGAGAGTGTTTTTTATTTATACTTTGTCGGTTTATTACGATAAACACGTAAATAGGTATTTTTTGTGCCGAATCCAGTATTGGAATCTTTCCTAGAAAAGACCCGGTGATAATGGCGCCCAAAGTTGGTTTGTGCTGAAATAAACCAGGGTTTTGGACAACTTGAACTGACAATCAGGTATTAGTGTTTTCAGCTATCAATGTCACTGTGTATATATTTTGAGTTTGCATGTGTGAGATCTTCATCTACATATTACAGCGTTCCTTCAACCCCGATGATTATACCCTGACCCTGCGCAAACGGACCTCTAAAGTCTAGTAATAAAACGTTTATGAAAATAAAAATAATAACACACAATTAAGTGCCATGGAAAGTATAAATAAACTATGTTCAATGGAGAACAATTTACATTGTGCATGAAAAATGTGTATTTACATTGTGTCCTACTTATCTCTATAAATATAAGATTGAGTTATGGAACATAGCTTAGGACCAGAGTTCTGAACTGGTTCAGAGAGGCCGCT